GGTCACTGTTAATGGGGCGGGGCAGCGCCCAAGTTCTTGATCTCTTTGGGCGTTCTCTTGCCTTATATTAGGCGAGAATAGAATCGACTGGGTCATCAGTTATATTAGGCGCATGCGACACGATATTAACACTGGGGTTGCTGCCGTGCACACTTCGCCAAAAGCGCATGTACAGCTTATGCGCGAGAGTCTTCTTGTCTTTGTCATCGATTGACTCCTCTTCCTCCTCCTCCTTCTTCTGCTCCTTGCCATCCTTCTTGCTAGGTGGGCTGTGTTCCGGCTTGAGTTTGGTCTTGCGCGGGTTGGCTGCTTGGTTGCTGCTCTTTGCCGAGCCATGGTCCTTCAAAGCATATTCATCATTGGCTTTTGCTTCCTCCTCCGTTTCCAGTTTCCGCGGTGTGCTGGTGGAGCTGGGGGCAGCCTGTGCTTTTTTCTTTGGCTGTGCATTCTTCGCGTTGTTGTGTGTCTTTGAGGATTTTGCTTTGGCTTTGCCAGCCGCCTTTGGCTTGTTGTTGTTCTTGTGCTTGCTGGGTTCATTACTTGGTTCCTCATCTTCCTTTTCCTCTGTGGCTGTGGCTTCAGCTCGGGATTTCTTGAACTCTTCGTCCAAGTCTCTTTGAACCTTCTGTGCTTTCGTCTTTCTTTCTTGGCTGCCTAGCTGATCGGTTGTCTGGGGTCGGCGCAACGCGGCGGCCGCTTTGTTTGGCAACTTGGAACCAGACTCGCCTTCGACAAACGACGTGCTTCGGCGCTTGGGCGGCGGGGTCTCCACGACTGTCTGGCACGAGTCTTGACGAAGCGGCTTCTTGCCGGCAAGGCCTTTTTGAAAAGTATCCTTGCCTGGTGGGGTGCTGGGCTTATCCTCCTTTGGTGTTGACTTGGTCCTCGGCAGGAGGAGAGGGAACGATATTATATATGCATGCATGAGCACAGCCATACTCGTTTGAAATTATCAAAGGACCCAGCCCCGTAGAGGAAGGCGTGAAGGCACCGTTATCCTGGCCCCCAGTTTTGGAGGCCCTGGTCGCCCTCTCGCGGGCCCTTCTCAGCACTTCATCCACGTCACAGCTGATTACCATGACCACAAAGCACAATGCCGTGTGAGCAAGAGGTCTCGAAGAACCCTCCTTGATCCGGATGAATTCAGCATGTGTACGCACACGTACCGCAAAGCACTTTACAGTTGCGCACGGACACCAAAACGCAAACGCGGTTCAGAGTGAGTTTTGGGGTCACACAGATTCACAGTTATCACTGTGGGTTTCACAGTTATCACGGTGGGTT